AGATTAAGTTGCGCCTGGCAAATCGTCCGCAGACTAGTTCTGTATGGAGATACGACATCCATTTCAACCTTTCGGATAAGCGGTAATCTCTATCTGGCACCATTTGTGAAAATTCGAAACATGTCCCGCAGCGCTCACCAGTGCCAACACGTAATGGTTTTATGCAATAGGTGCGATTCAGAATTCTGGTAGCCAGCTGGGGACTACACGTCGACAAAACGAGTTTATCTCAAAATGCACCATGCGGTTGACAAACTAGACCAAGGAATCGAGATTTCAAACCAACGCACCTTGTCACCAAGAAACCCAGTCACCAAGACGACCAGCTTGGCGACCACCGTGGAACCTGTGTCAGATTTCGGTGTCTATGCAAGCCTGTTTTGAATTCTGCGATGACCTACTCAACTCACTCCATGCATTGTGTCTGGAAAAATCACTCCCATTAGCCCGATGACAAAACATTTTAAAGACCTCCCTAATTTCTCGCATTTGCAAGCACTGTTAATGTCTTCCCCTTTACCGTATAATGCTCTTTAACGAAAAAAACGGAACTATCGGTAGTTTCAAAAAATTAAAGACCTGAAGCAATACCTAGATCTTGCACCACGACATTCTCGCGCAACTCCATACGGTATTCTGTGAATTCCTAGGCAGAAAAGTGTTTCGATCCAAATGGAGCATCACTGTATTTCTATCTTTTTACAAGAGAGGTGACAATTGTTTGTGAAAGCCACTTTGGCTTGAGCCAATTGTGCGACGTTTTTAAGATATTTACGATCTTGTGAAGCGCTTCACCGGCGAAAAACAGTCACGTGCTAGGCCAAACCAGGCGGGTTTTTATCCAGCTAAGGATGCAGTGACCGAAATTTCGCTCTACAGCGTGTTGCAGAACAACGACGCAAACATCAACAACCAACAGTTACCTGTTTTGTCGACCCCGGAGAACCGTTCGAGTCTGTCAGCCGAGACACACTGTGGAACATACTGAAACAAGATGGCGTTCTAACGAGGTCCGCCAGGAAACGGCAACACGTGGGTCTTAGTACCTCGAATAACCATTGACCATTGACTAGCAGTTTGGAGTTTGACATGACTACCCGCTGTTCGTTATGCTGTCTGACTTTGACAGTGATAGGGTAATGCGCCAAGCTGACAAACAACATCAAGTAGAGTTTCGACAGAGTAAATCGTGCACGGACCTTAAAGTTACGTGTGATATAGTTGTCCTCGCTGAAGACCAGCATTCTAAAGCAGGTCAACAATAGGATCCGCCACTGAGCATCTTTCCGCAGCCTCAAGAACCAATATGTCCTTTCCGTTAGCGCTAAGCTTCAGTGGACAAGTAAAAGCAGACGAGGCAGTGCTAGAGAATGTGTGAGTTCAGACGCATCGATACAACAACAGACGGAGTGATGATCCGTTTGAATAATGCTTACAGGTAGTTCCTACAAAATACGCGCGTACTATGATATAAAAAGAATTCATCTAGTGAGCGAGACTCAAATATACCACTCTACCTTTTGACTTGTTTTACTTTGTTTTTACGAAAATTCGCCAAGTTGTCTCGAAAACTGGCAAGAGGAGGATTTTTAACCACTAGTATTTGGAATAAGTTTTCAGAGTACGGTCTTGAGACCGTACATCAAACGGAGACCAACCGTCGGTGGTTTGGCATTGTTCGGCTCAAGCAGCTAACCTACCACCAACTCCGATAGATTCGCCACGTTTTCACTGCCAGAACACTTCGTTTCAGAGACTAAATATCAAAACGTGCACGTCATTATCACAGCACCGAAACGGCTTCTTTTTCCTTCGTTTGTGAGTGAGTTAAATGAAAAAATGTCCATTTATTTGATCAGTAACTTCTCTTAAAACAAGACCAAGACCCCGTGAGCTCGCTAGCGACCATTTGCAGGCCCACCTATCGAGGTAAATTCTCACAACGAATTTCTGGCACCGAAAGGATATAGCATGCAGTGAATGCTTTACATAATAGAAACCTGAAGCAGTTCAAAAGCCAGTGATCCTAAAAGACTCCTTTTGAAATGTGTTCACTGGTGCACTTCACTAAGTCGGAGCGGAAAACCTTCCGCTAGGGTGCATAGAGACTGGAAATTAGGATATAGAAATACGTAACAAGCTGCAGCTAGACATACATATGTTTAGACTTGGACCAGAACAACCTATAAACCACAAATGAATCTGATCTCCACCACTAAGGCGGCCTGCCCCATGCGACTAAGCCCAGGCTATGATAAAGCTGAATGATGAAGCTTGGAGTATTAATGTGCGCCCAGTGGAACCAATAGGATAGGCTACACATGAAAATGACCTTTCTGAGCTGAAAGGATAAACACAAAGTGGAATGGATCTCGCAATCGTAACTTTCCGCGTAGGTTAGAAGCGCCTTCTATCTAGACACCTATTTGTGAGAGGAACTGATGGTGTCTACGACGAGTGAACGGGGTATTAAAAGGAAGCACGGTAAAATTCAGACATGGATAGTAGAGCACTGACCACACGCCACAGCGGCCACGGAGACCTGAATGCGAAAGCACACACAGAGATGCGCTATGCATCTGTATGGCCGAGATGGATCAAATTATAAAGAAGTCATACCACATGTGAAGACCACAATCTGCGACCCCATCAGCCAAGACTCACGTGTACAGTATCAGTGCTGAACAAAAGCTTTGGTGGCACGTACAACGTGTAGATGCATTAAATGGAAGGATATGCTTTTGAGAACCTGTTGAGTATCACGCGTACCTTCAAACTACTTTGGCATTGGTTATCAACAAATCCAGAAAACCCATTTCTTCAAAGTGCGGTACGGGTTTGCTGCAACATGTTGTCAAACCAGTGAGAGTGCACCTTGAATAACCCGCTTGACACCACTTCCCTGCAACTAGCTAGAGGGATACTCATGGAGGGGGCTGTAAAATGGACAGATCAGTGTTGCGTGACTTTTCACTTCTGTAGAAGCTTAACCACAATAAGTTTGAAACGTCGTTGAGAGGACGGATTGGAAAATCGAAAGGTCACGCAGTTAAGGGAATGTCTGGAAGATACAGGATAAGAGCTCAACAACATTAATTTATCAGCATTTCTCTTACAAGACCACGGTGACTCCATCAGTTCGGTCTCTACTGATGTCAGTACAACTGCTCGAAATCAACAGTGCAATGGTGAAACGTCAGCAACGCTACCAGTACACGGTCAACGGAATGCCATACAAAATGCACGGAGAAACAAACATGTGCGAAGGCGCAGTGCTAGATGAGAATCATAAAAACCTGGCAACAAAGGCTGTAAAACAAATATATGCTGATATATATCTGGGTAGAACGGATAAAAGACACCCACTAAATGTCTACCAACATGGTATGATCAGCACTGAGTATCAGCCTCGTGCGGACTCACTTGCGTTGCATTTTGAGGCTGTTACCAATTTAGATGGAAACACATACTTTTAAGAGAAGACAAAGGCTAGCGGAAGCGCTGTCAAATACTTAAAAGAGACATCATGCCAAGCTGACACGAATGACCTCTTTTTCTGGGACTGGAAAAAAAGTAGGGCGGTTAAACTAAATGGTCGACACCCGGAACAACCCAACCAAACCGCATGTCACTTCTCAACGGATAAATATAGGTGAGTTGGCTGCCGGACCAAGCTTTGAAGATAAGCTATTTCGAAAGAACAAAAACTTAGGCACACAAGATGACCATGAACTTAGGTGCCCCACCTATCTGACCCTGAAGATGCCCGCATACTAAAAATATGATGAATAAAGTTAAACATGAGTACTATCTCCGTGTTCATGGGATAACAGTCTAATGCTAGCTTAGGCAAATTCAATAAAAAAGACAGATCAACCATTCTTTTAACCCCAGCAAAGCACTCAGTAGCTTTAAACACACCCAACTGGTACAGAAAATCAGGAACCAACAAACAGTCTGGTCGACACGTAAGTAGATGAAGGCCTTCGAAGCAAAAGCAGTCGTGCTGGTGAAGACAGTGACCAATGTTGTTCAAGACTTGCCTAGCCAAGTCGATTAAGCTAGGCACTTCAATTCAAACTTATGGTCATGAAGACAAATAACCCGAGGTGCAGTCACAAGCAGCCAGGAGTGGACTATTTGAATGACACAGAAAGAACACACTGCCTATCAATTGCAAACAGGATCTGAATGAGGGAACGGTTCATGAAGCTTGGATTCGAAATCCACTCTGATTATGTAGACTACGCATGACTTGGCAGTACTCATCAGACACACCCTGAAAAAGCCAAAGCAGAGTTGTCAATAAAAGGCGTGAAGGGAACTTTCACTTATGAATCCCAACACTGACCGGAGTGCTTGACGCGGTATTTATCCCACCAGTCATGAAATACGAAGAGTCGGCGTACAGTCCATGCACGCAAGGAGAAGCACACAGGCTATGACAGGTTCAAAGGCTGGGAACCAGAATGGCGTCGGGAATGTGAGGCTTAGTTTGAATACCGATGCCATAGAACGGAGTCGTTGTTCGTTTTCAATATGCTAGAACGTTGTGGAAAAAATGACAGTCTGAAGCCGGAATTGCACAGGGTACATGGATTGCCTGAATCGTGCTGACTGTAATGGCGAGCGATGACAGACCGAAACTGGCTACGAGCACTTGAAACCCAGGCTTACATTGTCAAGCAAGCCAAGCTTGATCAACCCTTGCCATCCACACCCTTCAAGTCTTTGCTGGGCACTGAGGCTCAGCAAGCAAAACGTCTAGACGACTAGGACGGGGCTATAAGGAGGAACCAACACCGGCTGTCCTCGAAAGTGTAACCAAGGACGAAGAGGAAAGACAAGAGAACAGTGACTCCAAGTTGTTAAGCAAGCCAATTTGTAAACTGAACGTTTCATCAGCTGCATCTCTGCTTCACATATTTACCATTAGTATTGCAGTAATGACTGATTGAGTCCCGAAACAAAAATTGGAAATAAAATTTACGATATCTTACCTGGATCGCTGAATCACCATCCCACATTGGTAGGGAGATCGAATAATGCATTATCAAAGTCCAGATTAGACCCAAGATAAGTTTCATGTTCGAATCAACGATGTGGGTGCTATCTGTAAGAAAACCTAATACGGAGCAACACGGGAAACTGACCTATGCTCACGAGCCGCAGCTTCTCATTGTCCTCGAGAAACTTCAGAACCTTAGTAACATTCTCAAGCTTTTGAGTCCGGAATGTAGGCTTCTTATTAAGCTGTTTAAATTTATGATTCGTTAACACTTCCACCAACGCGGCGAGCCGTAGACCATCGCAAAGATCTGTTTCTAGATTGTCAATGTGCATGTTCGCCTTTTTGAGATGTTCATTAGCCCATCTTGTGAATGTATTGCGTTGCATAAGCTTCCATTGGGCATCTTCCGCGAGTTCCTTCTCAGCCATCCGCGAATGATCATCCACGGGAACAGAATTGCCCGCTTCGTCTGCGGCTACAGGATGTCGCGCAGGCCTATCCTCCATTCTGATTGGCTGAAAAAGGTAGATAGTCATGGTGATCATAGCTCAGTTGAAAATAGCGTATATAAAACATGAACTGCAACCCAAATGATCGCAAGGATGAATATCTAAACCTCAGACATCCAATCCATGTACTAATGCACCTAAAGTAAATTGACCTTTCAAAAATTTCAATGCTGTTGTTGCGGGCCCCACAATCATCGTCTACCAGGGGGTATGAAAATTGGTGACAATCCTAGCAAGGAGATAACATCCACACATTAGAAAATTTTGTGTGGAAGTTGTCTATCTAATAGGAATGGTCCTGAAAGGAGGCGGACGGTATAGCTCGCTGCACTCACAGGCACAATGCTTGGGAACAACATAGTGGGCGTTTCGCAAGGTATCATGCCGTCGTTGATATATCAGTATGGAGTAAGATTTTGAGCGTTGCAAGTCCAGCGTCTTGAGGACTTGCCTCAGGGGCCTTTACAGAACTAATATCCAGCATCATCGTTGCTCCGTCACGAACACGGGCATGCCGTATCCCGTCCCTCAATGTGCCTGTTCGTCGGTACTAAAACAGCAGGACGTGTCCAGGATCCTATGCGAAGCAAGCTCCTGAGCCCTGCTTTTCCTAGCCCCATTGCGTCGCGATGGGCAGTCGAACCCGGGCAGTGGTTACTACCTCCTACCCGAAAACCATTCCACGTAGGGAAGCTTGCACCAATTTACCAGCTCGCGCCTCCAGTGCGCAGCTACTTACAACCCCGCCACCCAATCATCGGTGAACGAAACTGCGGCTGCTGCAACCACTGTACGACGAGTACGCGGTTATTACAGCTGATAACAATGATGATGATGAGGGAAGCTAGCTTAGTGTTTGGAAAAACATACCAGCCTGTCCAAGGATTCTTGGAATGATCCTCAGGATTCAGAAGGCTCACAAGTTTCAGAAATCCGATGTTATAGTTCAGCGATCCCTAAGTTCGAAGCTCTTCCATTTGAATCTCTTCCCAGGGTCCTCGGTGATGACGATTACCCTTCGTATTCTCGATATTTTAAAATTACGTGCTGAGCCGAAGCACAGGCAACACACTGCCCTTCATCAAATCTACAATATATTCCACCTAGAAGATTATGTAAAAAGCCCCCTCAGTCGGACTCTTCTGGTATCCCCTCCCTATGAATTATCATTCTGCTTGAAAAACATTCAACCTGCCCCGTTCTCATCTCAGCCACCTAAAGCTGATTTACCATGCCATCACGAACGTTATCGACTAAAACTCGGAGCGACTGATACCTCCTTTGAAAACTAAATGCATCTAATAGCTTTGCCGGCAGTATTGGCAACACCAGTCTCTTCTCCCTTTGATCATCTGCTCACAAGCCTGTTAATCCCAGTTCATCGGCCCAACTTATGGCTTTGAGGGGGATCTCTTGTAACATGGCTTTGTATCCACTCTTGTTATGATGTTTTTAATCCTCACTCTCTCAGGCAGTTAGCCCTGGCAAATCAAGAGTTTCCTTGGATGAACTGCTTCGGTCTAGAAACAGAAGACGCCTGTTCACCCCGAGATCATCAGAGCTCACCCACGTTTAACGTGAATGATGCTTCATAAACTAGTTTTACGGAGCCTGCGTTACTTCCCTCGGACTTTTATTCTGCTGTGTGAATGGAACAAGTCCTGCTTTCTGGATTTTACTCATTTCTTCGCCATAAACGTGCTCCAACACTTCCAAGAGGGCCTCGCTATTGCTCTGTTAGTTTCAAGGTGCGCATTGTCAACCGCATCTTTCCAACAGTGTGCTTCCTCTACATCTAAACTCCCTAGGAACACGGTGGTCCAGCGTAAATCCCCTGCTTTCAGGTCGATTGGGCTACTCCAGACGGTTTGCTGAGAAACAGGTAGGAGCGTTCTGTCCTGCAGTACTTTATTGATAAGCTCGTTCAGATTAACCTTCCACGCCCGAATACTCGTGCCCACAAAATGCTGATTCGAAAGATTGCGTGACTTCACAGATGGTCCCTTCAGCAAACTTCTGAGTCACCCGCCTATCGTTGACCACTGTGAATTCCAGTATGCATAAAAAATGAGCTCGTGTGAGTTTTTAGTTGAAAATGCACCGTTCCATACAGTCGAACAAATCCTGTGTTTATTCTGTTTCCGTGTCCCAGTTGAAATCGCTCACAACCCAATTACCTGCATAAATCTACCTGACCCCCGAGCAGCTGCGACTTTTCAATCAAAAACCATACTCATTCATTTCATACTGAAGGCTTCTGACTAACATGATAATAACGTATTTATAAAATAAATGTGTAGCTCCCTAGTTTTCTCCACAACGCTTCCCATGAACCAATCGCATGCACACAAATTTCCCAGGCTTTGCAATTCTTCGCCCTCAACCGGGACCAGAACTACTGGCCTTTTTAGAAAAGCAAACACCCTATCCTTCGGGGAATTTCGTGTACATGACGGCTGCTTTGGGCCACGCAGTTCACGCAGAAGTATGTTGCATATATCTTTCTCTTTTGTTCTGCTGATGGGGCCTTATATACACCAAGAAGCCATCCACGCAAATTCATTCAGATTTGGCCGGTTTAGTTTCTATCATTATTACGTCGACTGTGCCCATGCAGTGTGTTCTCATCTTCCACATTGTGTTGTTCGGCTTTTAGATTATATCTGGGTCACCATTTTGCGGTATGCATATCATAATTTCACCTGTATTTTTGCTTGTACTACACTTGTCAATTCTCGGCGTTAGAATATTATGGGGACGCGGACGTTTTGCACCAACTAAAACACTGCTCTGTGGATCTCGACACCATGTTGTTCACGACGCCAAGTTGAGGAGAGCGCGGTTCCAGTTGACCAAAGTAATCCAGTATCTTTGTCAGATAAGCCTACTTCGCGGGACCCATTGGGAAGAAACTTCCACGAAATAACAGATCATTTCCTCTGACCGAAAATAGGCATAGAGACAAAAACCATCACAGTTGCTGCCGCATGATGTGACCGGCCGAAACGCCCCTAAGGCATTTTCTTTCCTACGAAACACGTGTTATAAGTTTTCGTTAACATCTAACTTCATCCTCTGTAGGCAATAAGTTCAATGGTTGTATGGTTCCAGTTCGGGGGCCAGCGATACGAGCCTGCGACAATCTCCAATAAAGACCGCACTCAGGCGAACCCACGACATCCAAATTCGACGACCCAGTCTGCATAGGTCCATTTAGAGAATTTAATGTGTTGTCGGAACAAGAAGCACGGTGCATGTGCAAAAGTCCTAAAACTGTCCACTACATTTTCATGGCGGGAGCTTTGCACATAGTCCGCATTGCACTGTCGTCAACCTAAAACCGATGGACACGTGGTCAACTCCTGAAAACATTACGACCGTGTCCGAAATTCGTGGAAAACCAAATGTCAGTAACTTATCCGCCTAGACTTAATCACCGTTGGCTATTCCAGTATTGAGCCACTACACACTGCTTCTGTACCACCCGAACTGCGTTTTAGAGGGGACCCTAAAGACATCAGACACGAAGCTGAGTCAATCTACGTTCTGTATGTGCGCTGAACACAAGTAAAAACACCACACATCTTAATAAAGCTTTTCAAATAAACCAGGACTCAACTGATTGCAGTGCGGGGTGTCAATCTGGCAAACGGAAAAGAAAACTGAGTCTCACCAATCGGCAAACAAGTTAAACTTATCAACTGAAACAAGTATCAAGAAGATAGAGCAATAACTGTGGCTTGAGACTTAAGGATAACGCAAAACGTAGAAAAATTAACAGGATCTCACTATCAGAAGTGGTGCTTCTCAACGGTTGACCACAGGGCCTCCCAGAACATACAAAGGCAGAATCTATCAATATACTCATAATACGCGGGACTCCGGAGAGGTTAATACTGATGGTAACTCAGCATAAGTCCGCAAACAACCTGTTACTTTCCAGATATTTGCTTCGTTGAGGCAGATGCAGCGCATCTCCTAACACTGATCTGTATTCACAACCGTTATTTTCATGCCGTAGCCACTGAAAATCCACTAAGTACTAAGCCGCTCAGGAGACTTAAGTTTGGTTGGAATTCCAGAACAAGGTAGACTTGCGCTACGGCTATGCGGTAGCTTACAGTAACCGTGGGAAACGCCAAATTGAGGGTGTGCTGTTGTACCTGAAAATATCCATAATCCTTCGGTAATAAGAAATCTCAAGCTCTTTGAGGTAAAGTTTTAGATAACAAAGTTTTAACAACAGCTGTCCGCCCGTGGTGAGAAGAACCGTAAACGTGACTCTATAAGACATGCATAATCCGCTTCCCGATGGCAAGGGGCGGAATGCAAAAGAATCTTACTTGCCCTCCGCCAAAATCCACGAGCGACAAATGCAGTTCTGACTGCATATTTGGGCTTCACCAGTTAGAGAATTTATGGACGTTAGTCATGCAGTTGTTGTAAACCAACACAAAAAATTGAAACGCCACGCAGTCAACTTTGCGGGGCGTAGGGTCGACGTGCCCTAAAGAGAGAAACAGGGTTGAGTGGAATAGGCTACCCAATATTACACCGGGGCGAATTTTGAAGAAACCTCCGTTCTTTCCTCCGGGAGTGATCAAATACTTAGGGCCTAAACATTGAGAACGGTTGCTTCCCTACCTAAACTGTTCTTATACAGGCTATTCAGCTGGCGAAAACGAGCTCTTTCGGGTAGCGGATACTACAAAACCACTCGATTGTTTCCTAATAAGACTTCAAAGCACGTTCATCTGGAAGATGTCCCTTGTTTTTTATGCTGTGTAATGCCAAATTTTGTGGTCCTAAAAAGTGTAAGGAAATACGACATTCCCTCCTACATAGGAACATAGGAACTTATGAATTGATTCAAGTGTGCTAAATTTTTTGCGTTCGCATTTCTGTTGTTGGAAGCCTTGAGTGTCTATTTCACGTGCCCATAGTATTCCCTACGAGTTGCGAAATCCCCATTTGTGTACGCGGTTGTGCTGCTTTTTGACGCTCTT